AGAAGAAGAAGGGGCTGCTGGACCAAGCAGGGTGGGGACGAGGCAAGATCAAAGACAGGGAGGAAGAGCAAGAGCAAGACCACCTGCTGGTGTCACAGGAAGCACTCCATTCACTAGCCAGGGACTGGCTCACCTTCAGAGGCATCCTTGCCCATCGGCAGTCAGGCTCCTGCCCCTTCTTTGGTTTTCACAGTACTCTTACCAAGACCATCCCCTCAATCCACAGAGGATTATTTGGGGGAGGAAGGGCTCTTCTTCCTATACAGTATAGGAAATACAGTAAGTACCTACTTACTCAAATCCAAATTAAAAGAATCTGCAACAGATGGCTGCCTAATTTCTGCCTGAACCACGCAGTAAACTACGGTACTTGTACATGTGCTGCCTCTGGATACCAAGGTGATGTACCATCATAAAGCAGTGGTAGACTGGGGGAAGACGTCATCCACTCTAGCCAACCGCCTAATCAAGCTCTCTCACTAGCAATACTCTGCTGAAGAAGCAACGTGTCTGGGCAGGAAGTGTCAGGGAACTACCAAGGAGAAATCCACACCCCTGCCGACCCTGGCAGGGCAGGCTGCTGTATATATGAACAGGGAGAAAACCCCACCCTCCCTCGCACTGGTGATGTTACGTAGTCAGGTAATGAAATGTCTGCAAGCAAACCCCCAAGCTCAGAGAGCACCAAGGACTACCTACCTACCTACCAAGATGTAGGTGGTTCTTCTTTGCTGGATGTAGATTGGTGCTTATAGTGGATTCCTGCACTGAGCAGAAAATCGAATTCTATGGCACAAATGGCCTTTCTAGCTTTTTGATTCTTTTTTCTCAAGAACAGATTAGATGTAATGCCAGGTACAGTGGTACCTCGGGTCACGAACGCTTCTGTTCATGACCAATTCGGGTCACAAACAGCTCCGTTCGCAAAATTTTGCTTCCATTCGCGAATTCCACATCAGGTGATGAACAGGATCCGTGGCCATTTTCCCTCCCGTGACACGTGGTCGCGGCTTCCTGTAGGGAGGGGGACTCTCCCTCCAAGCAGTAACCGCCTCCACACCCGCTTTCCTGTCCTCCACGCCAGAAGTCGTGTCGAGCAAGGCTAGCTTTCTCTCTCTTCGTACTGTATTTTGTTTTATATTTTTGTGGTTTAAAAAAAA